ATAAATAAATTATAAATTATATATTTGCATTTATTTGTTCAATCAATCTTTATTTTGTTCAATCATTCTTTATTTCAGTTATTTTGCCAAGAAGTAGATAAATTGACTTTTGTTATTATTCTACATGCAAAACTGAAGATAAAATCGTCGAAAAGTGAATACGAGATATTTCATGTCTTATCTATAATATCCTACTCGAAACATCCAAGAAAATGCAAATTCTTACAAAGAATTAATTATCACAAGATTCATTTTAAAAATAGCGGAAAGTGTCACGATGTATATAATAAATTTGCCGTAATAAATTCGAGTGCCTGAAAAAAAAAAAAAAGATATAATATCGCACTGTGCGTTTCTTTTCTAGGTCGACATGAGAGAAGAGACGGGCACGGACGCGTGGTCGCTCGTTCCTGAACGAGGATCAACAAGTAGCACCGACTATAGTGGGGGAGAGCTCTGTTTGAATGCAGCTTGGAGAGGGTAAAGGATAGAGCTAGGCCGAGCGGGTGGGGGTAGTGTTGTACGGGCGGAGGGGGAGGATTCGCAGGCGGGCGGGAAGGGAAACGAACCGAACGAACGCGTTCCCGTAGCTGGCTTCAGTCGGATAGGCGCGTTTGAACGGCGTCGGTCTTCTTCGACATACTTGACAATCGAGTTTCACGCGGAACGCGGAGTTCGCGGCGTCTCGCGTGAATATACAGTATACGCGCGAGTGTGATCCCCGAGTGTGCTTTTGGTTTCGTTTTTGCTTGATTTTCGCGAAGGGAGAAAAGGGGAGAGAGAGAAGGGACAGCGCGATGAGAGGCGCGTGTGCAGGTGGTGTACAGTGACCGTTGAAAACCGACGATAAGAAGGACACCGGCGCGAAGAAGAGGACAATAGACGGCGTTGGTCTACGCGGGAGACGTTTCTCGAAACGAGATTCTCGGAAGGGAAACGGTGGACGAAGAGGAGAGAACATCGCCGACGATGATGGGAAAATGTATGGCGCGATCCGGGGCGAGACCGCGGCCCTTTCTCGCGCTTCTACCTGCCTTCATCGCCTGCGAATTGCTACTCTGCGGAACTCTCGGTGAGTGAGGCATATCTTTCTCGAGGTTATTCGTTACAAGACGCTTCGATGTGTGGCCCCGTTCGTGTTTCAAATCCGTGCTCACCGCGCATGCGCGAGAGCGTCGCGCGAGCGCGTGTTAGTGCCTCGAAGGACGAGTCGCGCTCATAAAGAGAGGTGAGGAGGAGAGGGGGGGTTGGAGGAGAAGAGGGGGGGGGAGATGTTTCTCACAGCGGGGCCTTACGCTGGGACTTATTCACGAACCGCCGCAATTCGTTGAAACGAAGCCACGCATTGTCGCGCGAGCTTGCGGTCATGCTCTTGTCGTTAGACCGGCGTATCCGAGACGAAGAAGAGATAAAATGTACAATATTCTACGAAGAAACTGAAGGTGGTTCTCTACCACGCTTCTGTGAGAATGACACGAGCGTATATAACGGACGCCATGGGACGTCTATCGTACACAACGAAGCGTCATGTCAGCTTCGACTTTTGTAAACGCAATAGCAATCTCGGTTATTCGACGTAAACGGATAAATAAAAATGTCGGAGTGTTTACTTCTTAGAAAGATATAGAATTCGCAGGGTATTTTTTTGTACTTGGAAAAATCAGAATTCTCATGGAATTTTATTGGGACGCGGAATTTTTTTGAAAAATTCTCTCCTTTATAATTTTGCTCTTGCAATCCTACTGTAAGCAGTAGGCAATCTGCCAATAAGTTAAGTTGTGAATTATGTGTTTGATATATTATAAATATATATCTATATCGCTGTTTATATATTGAATGTCTTAACAAAATATTGAATATACAGTTCATATTCTTTATTTTAATTTTTCGTGATAAAAAATGAAAATGTTATGCAAGTTAAAAAATTTTTATCTTAACGAAAGTTATTCAGTATTTTTTTCATTTGTAAATCTAGCATTCGAAACTTGTGACTTTGTGTTTTCCCTTTGTATGAAAAGCATTAGAAAACGGGTGCGATCAGAAAACTTATTTTAGGAAATTGCATCAAAAATTTTTTAAAATATTTTCTTTACCTAGAATTTAAAACAAAAACCTGGAAAATCATGGAATTTTCAGAGAATTTTTTTATATAATTTGAGTAGACACCCTGAATAAAAATATTGAACAACAAATGATGGCGAAATGAAAGAAACGCAAATCAATCGGAAATTTAGTCGAGATTCGATTAGATTAATAAAATCAATAATTAATTGAAATTTGTTTCACCTGTGTACTGGCTATACGATATTTATAGCTAAAGCAATCCGTGCAAGTTTTAAATTTCAATCAAGCGTACAAATATGGAATAATCTTTTGTAGGATTAAGTAATTATATAGATGGAATATTATTTCGACCAATTCAAAATATCTTAAGTAACTTAAAATACAGGATCTAATATTGTCGGATCATATTACGTGGATAATAAATTTTCTTTTTAATTTTGCAATTTGGTTGATCTCGGTCTTATTATTATATTTAATTTGACAAATCCAAATTTTAATTTATTTACTCTATTTAAGAATATAATGATATTGTTCGAGAAAGCACAGACTCGAAAATTTATGCTTCCGTTATTTCAAAAACGTAAATGATTTTTAAGAGCTTGATTGAAATTAATTGATCTAAATTTCGTAAGGATGTTATCTGGTGCAGCAAAATTTCGTTACATCGAATATCAATTATTGTGACTTATATTTTTGAGCGATAATCGATCGCAATAGCTACAAACTTCCGCGTACGGTTAATGACTCTTTGCAATGCTTACGTAATCTTATACGATGCGAGGTTAACGTTTAACCCAGATGTTTTCCCCACGAATAAAACATCACATAGATTTAAAATAATTTACTGTAATAGCAAATTTCATTAAATCGTTATAACCACGATACCTTCGCTTTATTTCTAATTTTGGTTTGAATCGCTTTGCAATTTTGTTAATCAAGATGCGCGACTCGCATCTTGTAAATGACGTGCACGGGAGCAGAGAAGTAGGAAAATTGCTAGAAAAATCAAGTCTTGTTAGGATGCAAGCTAGATAAAAAGTTTCAGAAAAAAAAAAGAGTTGCGCTCGCCAGGCGATTTGCGCTAAAAGAAGACGCATTCGAGCGAATAACGTTGTTTCGGTCGCACGTGACGCCAGAAAAATGTAGGTTTACGAAAAATTTTCCCGTCACGATCCCAAAGGAACGATCGATGAACGTCAAACGGCAGTTACTAATTTCGGTGCCGCAATCAGGATCGTTAATCTGTTTGTATCGACAATTGAGGGAAAAAATTAACTTATTCATATAGCTTTTTGATAAAAAATGGCAATTATAAATACTCGTGAATCGTGTAATAGTAAATTTTTTACAAAGATATAAAATTTGATTATCGGGGGTATCGGATCTTTAGAAATTACATATTTTGCATTTATTTTAAATCACGATAAACTCGTTTCAAACATGATATCAAGCAAAGGAATTAATGTTTTATATCACGAATAAAACTCTTTTGCACGATATATTCCCCCTTTGTAATTAAATAATTAAAATAGATTTTTTACAGAATTTAATTATACGGTATTTTTATCTATAAACGTAGAAACATATAGTTTCTACAAACTTTGTTTTTTTTTTTTTTAATAATTTGTTATCGTTTATAAAATATTGCATTTTTATAACTGAAACGTTATACGCTTTTTTTTTTAACCCCGGGCTACACACTCATAACAAAGGGTTGCGAAACCAAAATAAAAAATATAAATAAATTTTGGTATTAATTTAGATATTGCAGAATTTTGACCCATGGTCCTCCAAAGATTGTTTAAAACAGAAAATATGTAATTTGCAAACAAAATCTCAAAATTTAATTTTTAGATTTAGCCAAAAGTATAATAGCTCAGATAAAAATAGAGTTCCAAAGAAAGTCTCTTTTATAGATCAGAAAGTTAAACGAATCCATTGATAAATTTGATCAAAAGATCGATGAATGAGAGCAGATTGGGATGAAATTGACTCACCCGTTTGTTTACCCGTAAGTAGGAAACGAGCACAAAGGGATTACATATACACACACACAAAAGAGGGTTCCTCTCGAGATACGCTCTCGATGTTTCTCTTGATTTAACGAGATGGTTTACCGCCGTATTAGGTGACGCGACTTATCGTGGCGCGAATCGCGAGGGGAAGCGAAGAAAGGAAGTTACTCGGTGTAGGTGTGTCGTCTTTCCTCGTTGAAATTCTCGAACGCGGAATTAGTTTAGCTGACACGCCTAATGCCCGCGATGTTTGCCGACAGAGCATGGCATATTGATGCAGTAAGCCCGATGAATGACAACGCGATGTAAAATGTTCTTGTCAACGAACTCCGCGAGTCTGACGAAAATGATCAAAGCTCAAGATATTTTGCGATATAATTAACTAGTAACAGATAATATGTAAACAGACACATATCTAAGATTGCACGAGATATCAAGACTATTCTTGATATTGTCTTGTCTTGCCTCGACATTCGAGACAAGATTTTTAATTAAGTATTTATTTTTAATTATCAAGACAATACCAAGATTAAAATTGTCAAGATTATTGGTTTTTAAAAAAGCTAAAATATATATATTTGTATGTAAATTAGATGAGAAAAAATTATTATATTATACAGACTCAAAAAATTTTATTTGATGAATAAAAATATTAATGTTAATAAATTTAGAAACAATAAAAATTATTAATAAAATCGAGACAAGGCAATACAAGACGAGATTTTTGCTACCAAGATTCACTCAAGACCAAAACAAGATTTAAGTTTCTGAAAATTTTTAATACCGATACAATATTTTTACGAATATTGTCTTATCTTGAGTCTTGTGCAAACCTACACACATTTTCGTCGAAGCATTTTTTTTCTTAAATATCGTGAAAAAAATGTGTGTGGGACGTTTTTAAAGCTAATTGTACATCGCGTACAAGTTATTGAAGGATCTGTCAATCAATATTTCTAAAAACACTTGTAATAAAATCAGCTTTATAAAAATGCCATGTGCGTGATATTTCAGTATCTCTCTGACGGGGCTTGTAACAGAGTCGTATGACTAATAACATGGTGACCGTTCCTGTTGGCTGTGTAATATCCTGAAATATATTCTTTCACGTCCCTTTCCTTCTACATGAAAGTCGTATCGCGCAAATAATGTATGAAAGATATCGTGCTGCACGAAAAGAATAAAGAACTGCTTTCTAAAGATATTAAAAATTGCATTTTTAAAGCGTTTTTAGTAGGAAACGTTGAACATTAATGTTGGTAAATTTTACGTCTCTTTCCGTGAAAACTTCGCGGAATCTCATTCTGTCTCGGACACAAAGGGTTGAAAGGTCGGAGGGGTCACGATGCCCGTGCATAATGGTACGATCGAAGAAATGAGAGAATTGCGGACACATTATCGATCTCTTCCGTATCGCGACTATTGTGAGAGTCGCAGAGATTTGGGATCGTCGCGAGCGTATCTGACGGGCGGAAATTTTGGCGGGGCCGATTGGCAAAATTGATAATTGGATAAAAGTTACGATGTGCCAGAGATCGTAAAGGCGAGCGAAACGACCTTTCTCCCAGTCGGAATTGCTGGAAAGCTTAGCAACAAATGAGCAACAAATAAAAATATTAATTAGAATTGATTCTGCTCATTCTGTTCCGCTAACTTATAAGACGTAAAGCATCGTAAACGATTTGGAGTCGCACGTTGGAGTCGCTGTAGCAAAGAGTAACGAAGAAGAAGGATTCTCCGGGTGCCCCGGGTCTCATGTACCCTGTGTGTTCGCGGTTTTATTACCTCCGTAGCTGCGGCTGTATCCGCATCGTAATCCTTGAAAGGTATTCCGGTTGTCTTTGTCTTCATATGCGTGACTTGATGTTTCGCGGTAGCATCCTACCGGAAAATATAAAGCGTATACGGGGTCTCCCAGATCATTTTTCATACGCGAAATCTTTGCACGATGTATAGCCGATATTTCTTCATCGAAAATATAATGGGGGAGTAT